ATCACAAAACATAGAGTGGCTGAATGGATAAAAAAGTAAAAGCAAACCAACAATAAAACCCAAGACCTGACTTTATGCTGCCTGCAAGAGACTCTCTTTGGCTTTAAGGACACACATAAGCTAAAGGGATGGGATGGAAAAAATATTCAATGTAAAAGGACACCAATGAGAGCAGGATTAGTAACTATTACATCAGACAACAGAGCCTGAGCTTCTGACCATCACTGGCAGGGCCTGGGGCAGGAGGAGGGAGAGTGGCACAGAAGGAAGGGAAGAGAAAAGGGGACATGGAAACTGGGGGTGGGGTCCTCACAAAGCAGCAGCAGGGTGGAGGGAGAGATCACTGGGTCTAGGTTCCAGCCCTGGGTGTTTCCAAGTGCTGTGTGAGCGTGGATTTGGATGCTGGGATGAAAAGAGAAAGAGGCAAGGGTGTAGCTGAGATTTCCAGCCCAGGTGACTCCATATGTGAAAGCTGAAATCAGAGGAGTCAGGAGAGGGGACTGGCTTGAGCTGAGGAATAGACCTACCCTCCTCTTGGGGTTCACCTGGAGAACAGAGTCCTCCTTGGAACTTTCTGGACCACCCAGACCCCAGGGAAATTCAGAGTGATTATGACCCCAGCTGTGCCTGGCCAAGGACCATGTTACACATGGCACCTGGTTGGGTAAGATTCACTGCCTGGCCTGCCTGGGTCTCAGTTTACCCATCTGTCAAATCAGAGGGGGGTGTAACCTCAACACTGGAATGTTCCTGAAAGATCATTTCTAGGCCTACTGACCCCACCACCCTGGTTTTTCCATCCTTCTTATGGTGTTTTATTGGCCCAGGTCCTCATGCAGCTCTAGGCTCACTTGGCTGGGAACCCACTTGCTGCCCTGCAGCCCCACTTGGGCCCTTAGGACAGCTCAGCAAGCCTCGCATTTCCAGCTCTGTCCATATGTCAGGCAAGTGTTTCAAAGTCTCTCTATGTCTTGGAGGATCCAGGGCTCAGGGTCAAAGAATTTCAGCAGCTTGGTGAAGGTGAACCCTCTGGGGGAGTTCTGCCTGGGTGGAATTGGGGAGTAGGGGGATGGGAGCAATTGGGCTGTGGGAAGGAGATTAGGGGTTGATGCTTGCTAGCAGGATGGGCAGGAGCCAGGGCATTGAAACTGGGGGGTCTTCAACGAAGAGGAACTGTGCTGGCAGTTAGACAGACATGAGCAGAGCAAGGACGATAGACCAGGTACAGAGGCCACCAGGGTGGAGAGCTCTGGAGGCCTAGCAACGGGCAAAACTTGGAAAACAAGTACCTCACCCCCAGGGTAATCTTCCTTCCCCTAGCATATCACTCATCATGGGGTTTGGACTCCCTGACCTTTCATATCTCTGCCCATGCTGTTCAGACCCCCTCTTATGACAGGTCTGGTCTGACCCCACCGGTCTAACACCTGGTGCTGTTCTCACAGACAGTCATAGTCAACAGCTGCTGTTCATTTCTCCCTAGAAATAACATCTGGGCGTCAGTTGTATATCAGCTCCAGGCCCAGAAAAGCAGCAAAACCACTCAGGACCATCTGCATTGACCCTTTGCCCTGGTACAAACCAATCAGTGGAGACCACAACCCTGAAAGGACCCACTTGGAAAGCTGATGGATATTCTATTGAGATCCTCCCTGGGATCTCCTCTAAGATCTCCACTCTTAAAAGCTTTTAGGATGGAGGACCCAGTGCGCTCTCCCTCCTGGGAGCATGCCCATGCCTTTCAGCACACATCCCCTCCACTTCCATCCCCCATTACCATTACCTTTACCTTCCTCACTCCCAAGCTCCAAGGGCCCTTCCTTTGCTACTGTAAGGTGTTTTCTGAGCCCCTTTGTTCTGCCATCCATTTCTGATACCTCTGCGATTTTCTAAGTAAAAGTTCTCTTACAGTTTGAGTCTTGCCTCTGAATTCTTCCCTAGTCAGGACTCAAGTACCAAGGTTGCTGAACCACGGTCCGGTCTGACCCCTCTGGTCTAACACCTGGTGCTGTTCTCACTGTCATAGTCAACAGCACCAGAAAATAAGAGACCGGTCTTAACTAGGTGAGGTCAGGAGGAACCAGTGAGCCCACTGCAGCCTGCCCCACCATCTCATTGGAGAATGGTGCCCTGACACTGCTGGGCAACTGTCCTGATCTGGGCTCCAGGAACTTTGCATCTCTGGTTGGTTTGGTTCTGCCTCTCCCTTCCCATATATGTCATGACTCCTCTCTGTGCCTCAAGTCCCCTCACATGAGGCTGAGAGCCTCTGCCACCCACAGCTGTCAGTAGTAATAACATCGCGGGGGCAGCAACAGTAGCAACAGAACAGTTCATTGAGCACTGACTAGGAAGCGGACTCTGGTAGGTGTCTAACATGGATTACCTCTTTACCTTCCTACAGTCCAGGGGGCAGGCTCCTACCCTCTCATTTTACAGATGGAGAGAAGATGCAGAGAGCAGTGAAGCAACTTGCCCAATGTGGTCGTGCCAGGACTGGAACTTGCTTCCTCCGGACTCCCTTCTGTGCCTATAGCACAAACCAGGCAAGTGGCCACTTGGGAGGTGGGTGTGAAACCCACATCCTCCTGCTGGTGCCTCCTGAGAGTCAGCCTCTTGTCTCTCTGGCCCTCTGAGTGCTCCCTCCCAGGGGCCGTGAGGACCCATGGGTTGCTGGGAATGCACTTGGCATTCTTCCCCCACAAGCCTCTTAGCTGCAGTCTAGTCTGTCTCGATCCCCCCTTTGACAATTCAGTTCCCTGTCACTGCCCAGGGTAAGGTTTGGTGGGAGGCTCAGCAGGGTGTGGGTGGGAAGTAGATAAACCGCAGGCAGAGGGAGTTTCTCTATCCACTGAGCCAAACCGATTACGGCTGCACTTGGCATTCTTCCCCCACAAGCCTCTTAGCTGCAGTCTAGTCTGTCTCGATCCCCCCTTTGACAATTCAGTTCCCAGTCACTGCCCAGGGTCAGGTTTGGTGGGAGGCTCAGCAGGGTGTGTGAGGGAAGGAGATGAACCACAGACAGAGGGAGTTTTGTCTACTCACCTGACAGCATAGCTGGCTCTTTCCGGGCTGGGGCACACAGCTGGCTCAGGCCCATCTGCTCCCAGGTCTGCTGGGCCAGGTCCCAGGCCTGCTGCTCCCCGTATTGAGCCACAAGGCGTGAGGCCACCTCCATGCCACCCACCTCCTCTGGTTGAGCTGGGGTCGCCCCAGGAGAGTGCTGGCAGAGATCCTTATCAGGCAGCCGCAGCAGGAACTCCCTCAGCTGCTCCTTGCTCATAAACTCCAAGATCCAGGCCAGCCGCTGCTGGACTCCTTCAGCCATCTTTGCTGCACCAACCTGCTCTGCTGCACTGGTTATGTCTCTTGCACTCAGCGGGATTCGGAAGCCCTTTGGGATGCTCGCTGTGGAGGGAGTGGGTGGTGAAGGAATCAGGCAGGTAGAGAAGAGCAGTCATCCTTGGTCCCTACCATCTCCCAATGCAACACTTTTACTTGGGTCATTATGGTCACCTGGCAATCTCCTATTCAGCATTCAGAACCCACTTTTGTAAACCCCAGGGCATCTGCCAACAGATGTTGGGAGAAGGGATGTGAAGGAGAGAGGCAGGAAAAGGCATAGGAAGGAGGAGTCCAGAGGGGGCTGGGAGACAATGGAAGGGATCAAGTTACTGAGTTGCTGGGTCTGGTCTGGGGGCAGGCAGGAGTGTGAAGGGGGCAGGGATGGGAGGATGGGATGCTCAGGACACTCACTGTTCTGTGCTCCTCAGCCCTCAATCTCCTGAGACCTGGACTCTTTGGACCAAGCCTTGAGCTGCAATGCTGACAGGAGGTGGGGGACGGGGAGAGGCAAAGCACAGGGTGGGCTTTGAGAGCTCAGGGTTGAGCTCAGAGCTGCCCCATCCATGTTTCTTCAGACCTCTTCTGGTCCCAGGACACCAACCAGGGAGAACAGCCTCACCCAGCAAGAGAGGAACAGAAATCACCCAGAGGAAACCACATGGGGGTGAAGTAAGGGGAGGGGAGGGACCATCTTGATTCTGAGCAGAAAAGAAACTTAGAGCCAAACACCCAGACAGGCCACATCTACAGTCTCCATCTATAGTGAGGCCAGGGGCACAAGGACAGACAGCCTGATGCCCTGGATGCAGACCCAAGTAGCATGACATTCTTGCATCTTCACATGACACCCTGCCCGGGGCCCCCTTGTATCTTTCTGCTGAGCCAGGGTTGAGAAACTTCAGGAAGTTGAGTGTAGGGACAGAGGCAGCTCTCAGGAAGGGCGGGGAGCCCCGAACCTTCCTGCGGAAGCAGGGTTCCTGAAGCCCAGTTCATCTCGGGACACCTGCTGGACCTCCAGCATATGTGGGGTCAATTTTCACCCGAAGCTTGCTAAGACTAGGGTGTCAGGGGCCGCCCCCACCCCTGGAATCATGATCTAAAGATCCACTTTTGTTGTCTCTGGTCAGGACATTGCTGGCAAAGTGAAGATCTTCTAGTCTAGTGCATCAGTATGCCACTCGGGGTCATGGCAATGGCCCACTCCACTCTGAATCCTGTGTCTGCCTGAGGTAGTAAGAGAGGGCTTAGGGCTTTTTGGTGCCACGTTCTTAAAAATATCCTGGTTTTAATGGCTCTGCTAGCATCCAACATACCTAAATCCTCTTGAGTTAGTAACACTTTCAAAATTCTCCCCCTCTCACTAATACTTCTAATAAGTTACATTTTAATATTATACTTTTGGCCAGGGATTGGCAAACCCTAGCTACATCAAGATGGCTAACCAGTGACCTAAGAATGATTGTTACATTTTAAAATGGTTGAAAAAGTCAAAGAAGAATAACATTTCATGATATCAAAATTATATAAAACTAGAGGCTCGGTGCACGGATTCATGTACTGGTGGGGTCCCTCGGCGTGGCCTGTGGGGATTGGGCTGAAACTGAAGGCCAACACCGCCTGAGGCTCTTGCCTGCTGCTCCTGCTCATCCTGACCCTGCTGTGCCTGCCAAGCTGGCGCCCAGTTAGTCCTGATGGGGAGAGGCTCGCGCCACCACAGCAGAGTTCACCAGCCATGAGCCCTGTGTCTGGCGTCTGTCCTGACGGGTCGGGGGTGGGGGCGGGATGTGATCTGCCCTCTGGGTGGCAGTGGGACACCCTGGGGTGGGGGTGGGATGTGATCTGCCCTCTGGGTGGCAGTGGGACACCCTTGCTCTCCTGGGATCCAGATCCATCCCGCTGACTTTAGTGCTCATTGTTGGGAGCCATCTGGTGGGCACTTTTATATCATTTCTTCCTTGAGGATCATCTAGGGAGAAAGAAATGAAAGAGCTATAAAGGTATTCCCACATGGGGGTGGGGCGAGGGGTGGGAGGGGCCTTCATAGTTCTGAGCAGAACAGGAATTTAGAGCCAAACACCTAGACAGGCCACATGTATAGCGAGGCCAGGGGCACAAGGCCAGGTAAGTTGCTGTGCTGGGTGCAGACCCATGTACCCTGCAGTACTCACATCTTCACATGGCACTCTGCCTGTCCATCACCCAGAGCCTACCCACAGAGCCAGGGTTGAAGCTCTTCAGGATGTTGAGTGTGGGGCCAGGCCCAACTCTCAGTGTGGGTGGGGCCACTGTGAATCTTTCTTTAGAGCCTTGGTTGAGTTTCCTCAGTGATGGGTATGGGGCCTGGCACAACTCTCAGGGTGGGTGGGGCCACTGTGAATCTTTCTTTAGAGCCTTGGTTGAGGTTCCTCAGTGATGGGTATGTGGCCTGGCCCAACTCTCAGGATAGGTGGGGCTCCTAAGTCTGCCAGGGAAGCTCCTTCTTGGGGCACTATAGCAAGGTCAGGGGCCCTCCCAGATTCTCATAGTTTTATGGGCTTCTGAGGTCCATTGCATTCATGCCATGTGTTCTGGCCAGGGGACTGTTGGTTTTGTGTTAGCTCAGCACTCAACTAGTAATCGTCCCATCTGAAAGGGAAACAGCCCCTGCCTCCTGGTTGCAAAGCCAGTTCTCTGGGGAGCTTTCTTATCTTGTAGAATCAGCAGAGATGTGGACGGTAGATGGAGGAGTGACGTTATCTAAATCCTTCCCTGTTTGTAGCAGCTTCTGGAGATGCCTTGAATTGACCTGGGCTGGAGAGCCCAGGCCTAAGGGGCTTCAGCCCATTGCTCACCTGGACACAGACTCCTGGTGTGGCTGATTTATTTCTCTGAGCCTCAGTTTGCTCACCTATTAAATGGGACATCACAGTTTTGCCAAGGAGCTCAAATCAATAAAAAAGATCTTAGTAACCTCTAAAAATGTTATATAATACTGATTTTAAAAAGTGGGCAGTAAACACTGGCGGACATTACAGCCAGACTTACCAGGCATGGAAAGTGCTACCCTAGGAAGTGGGTTGATCAGAGGGACCTGAGCCTCTATGAAGGGCCCTCAGTCCCAGTGCGGTGGGAGGTATGGCCTGGAGGAGGGGTGTGATAGGTTTTATTTCCTCCTGACCCTAACTAATTTTGACCCCACTCTCTGGACACCAACTGGGTATCCCACAACTCAATTCAATTTGGGCCTAAGCTGGCAGTCAGACATCCTTAGTGCTGCTGTGGAGGCAGGAGAAGCTCCTGCCACCACCGCTGTGCTCACCAACTGTCGAAGCTCCCCCTGTGGGAGCGCACTGACCACCAGGGGGCAGCTCCTGTGTTGAGCGTCTGCCCCTGGTGGTCAATGCGCATCATAGCAACCAGTCGTTCTGCCATTCAGTCGATTTCCATATTATCTTTTTATGATATAGATTGGATGATTAAATCAGGCCTTGGCGATTGCCTTAATCTCCCATCCCTCACCATGCCTTTGGTTACATACAAGGGGATTCCCTCAAAGCTATGAGCAAAATTTTCAGCAGAAACTTCACAGTTCAGGAGAGAGTAGATGATATATTCAAAGTGCTGAAAGAAAAACAGGTAAGAATAATTTACCCAGCAAAGGTAAAGAAATGAAAGAGCTATAAAGGTATTCCCACATGGGGGTGGGGCGAGGGGTGGGAGGGGCCTTCATAGTTCTGAGCAGAACAGGAACTTAGAGCCAAACACCTAGACAGGCCACATGTATAGCGAGGCCAGGGGCACAAGGCCAGGTAAGTTGCTGTGCTGGGTGCAGACCCATGTACCCTGCAGTACTCACATCTTCCCGTGGGCCGAGTTTGCCCACGGCTGGCCTAGCCCCTACTCATTTCACTAGTATACAAAAATCTCTTTGAGCCCGCAACCCTGGTATGTGCCCTGACCAGGAATCGAACCCATGACCTCCTGGTTGAAGCTCAACCACTAAGCCACATTGGGCAGGCAGGGAGCCCTTCTTAGTAGTTATCTTCTTTCTCAGGGTCCACGCTAGTCAGCAATTCTTTGTTTGAGTGAAAGAATTACAGCTTGTGGTTTTTGCCTTTCTTTGTTCTCTCCAGACCACAATTTGGGTTGCTACTTAAATCTGTGTCTCTCTGGAATTTGAACCTTTAAGATCCTAGATGAACTTTAATTTGGTTTAGGGCCTCAAGTCTTTATTAGTTAACACAACAGACAACCCTTCCAAATGACATGGCCATACTCACCTTTAGTGCTAATGGAGCACCATTCCCTCACACTCATGCCTAGAGGTGGAGGTGCCCTGTACCAATGGCCATCTTCCACGTTTGAACCTGATTGCCTGATGCCCAGGGAGGGAGACCTGAACGTGCAATTTGACTGCTGACGGTGCACTGGATGCCGAGAGCCAGGCTTTGTGCCCAGACCCCTCCCCTTCTCCAGCTGCACGCCTCTCCTGGTGGCCTCACCCAGGCTTGGGACTGTGAATGCCCTCCATGGGCTGATGTTCTCACATTTCTATCTCCAGCTTCAACCATCCCTCTGATTTTGGAGCCTTTATCCAGCAGCCTCCTCCACCTCTTTACTTGGGCGTATCACAGTCATCTCAGACTGAACTCCCCAGACGGGAGCCTCCAATTTCACCATTTCCCGTATCCCTTTCAGCCTTCTTTGCCCACAGTCTCTTCATTTCAGGAAATGACAGTTTGGGCCCCAAACACCGACTCCTCTCTTTCTCTCAATCCTGACGTTCCATCTTTCGTCTGGTCCTGCCAATGTTATCTTTTTAAATAGATCCAGAACCTGATTGTCATCACGCGCAGGGATACCCTGCCACATCCAGCAGCCATAGTCTAATCCCAGGTCACTGCGCTGGCTGCCTGACTCTTCCCCTGGCTCTGAGGTTGCCCTCTACTGTCTATTCTTGGACCAACGGCCAGAATTACCCTTTAAAACAAGTCAGGTCTGGACAATTCTCTGCTCAAAGCCTTCCAATATTCTCTGTTTCAGTCAGAGGAAAAGCCAAACTCCTGTCA